GTGACGCGCACGCAAGCGCCCTGGCGCACTCTCGCGCGACGTTCGCCTGGGTGGCCCACGGTCGGTCCGCGTGGCGCATGAGGAGGTCGCATCTAGTGGCGCGCAATCGCTCGTGGCAAGGGGGAGTCGTGCAGAGGGAGTTCGCGGTGGCAGGCGCGACCCAACTCGCGTCAGCGGCTGCGGGGCGCACATCGACGCGCGGTAAACACCCCGCCAGCTGGCTCGGTATTTCTGGGATGGCTGCAGGATCTTTTGGACAGGGTTCAACGAGGTCGTCGGCGGCGTCTTCGGGGTCTCGCGCGGAAGCGGGCCCAAAGGTTCGCGAAGAAGACGGAGAGACGGGCGAGCAAAGACGCCTCCGAGCCGTCCCAGAGTCGGCCAGTAGTTGCGTCAACGGAGCCAGGACAAAGGCTTGAGCACGAGTGGAGCAGCGTTGGCATCGTGGGCGGAGGACGCCCGGGCGGCCCGCTTGGCGCCCCATAACCGCCGTGCCGCCGCGCGAGAACGGCAGCAGGCGGGAGAAAGGCGGCGCGGAGCGAAGGGGAGAGACGCGGAGAGGTCGCGAGCGGCAGTCGCGAGACAAGGACGCAAGGATTCGAAACGCTGGCAGTGGTCGCTCTACTGGAGCCAAGTATTTTGCCAACCTTTCTTGAGCCCGAACGGCTTGAACCCGAGAGGCGGGCAGAGCTGGCTCCAAGAGGGCCTCAAGACGGCCCGGGATGACTTCAAGACGGCCCAAGAGGCCGTGAAGACCGCCTCAGAGGCCACAGTTCTTGATTATTCTTAGTTGCGTGAAGGATTTGCATTCGGTCTTCCATCTTGCTGAAGACGGCCCAAGAAGCCCCCAAGTTCATCGCAAGATAGCCTGCAAGGTGGCACACCATGGCGCAAGTAGGGATTCACAGGCAAAGCAAACACATCATAAACTCTGAACCCGCATATTCCTTATGAAATTGACAATTCTGCTGGAAGCGGCGCGGCGAGATCTTGTTGAAGCCTGCCTTTCAAGATGGCTCAAGATAGTCCAAGAGAGGAATGCAGAGAAAAAGACAACAACGAGAGCGAGGTCCTAACCGAGGGGGCGGAATTTGGAACACCCTCAAGGAAATGCCCCGCGTGCCTTGCTTTAGAACCTATCGTTCTGCGGTGCACGGCGCCACGTGCTTGAGCACAAGATGGCACTTGGGATGGCGCAATCTGCCAACACGAAAAGACAGGCAACACAACAAACAGCAACACATGATTACCCGCATGCTTACCTATGCAATCACACATTGTGATGGACACGACAAGGCGTGGTCGAACACAAGATGCCCCCCTCCAAGAGCCCCAGATACCCCAACTATGCAATACAGGCAAAATAAAGCAACATCAAAGCACATCCCATCCGCATAAAACGTGAACCCGCAGATTCCCCTATAGAATTGCTCTGTGCTGGGCCTGGAGACGCGCGGGCTTTCAGGGTGGACCCCTGAGAGTTTAGCACGGGCGCCGAAGCCGCCAGAGGTTTGGGAGGAGGCGGAGGAGGGGGAGGCGGCACGGGAGCGAGAGGACGAGGAAGGAGGAGGAGGAGGAGGAGGAGGAGGAGGAGGAGGAGGAGGAGGAACGGGGTCAGGTAGGAGCGCGGTGCCGGGCGCATTCGCGTCACAGACAGGCAGGCGTACTATGTTTCATGGAAAGCATTTGTGTCACTAGGGGGTTGGCCGTGGCCGGATCCTTGGGGGTTGGCCGGGAAGGCTGGCCGGGCCCGTTTCGCTTGGGACATCCTCACCAGGGAGCTGAGTCCGAGCGTGCCCGCTCGCTCCCAGCGTGCATTTGTGTCGCTCAGACGGGTTGGCCGAGGTTGTCCGGGGGATTGGCGACCCCAGTCCTTAGATAATCCAGCCCTGCCATCGCATCTAGTATTTGTGTTCGCTGCTCTGGGGACAAACCTGGGCGCCACGGCTGGAGGCGGTTCGAAAGTATCTTGTGATGTGCGCCGGCACCGTCCCACGTTTGGTCGACGTTTCTCCCTTTCCTCCTCCTCCTCCTCCTCCTCCTCCTCCTCCTCCTGCTCCTCCTCTTCTCACCGAGCGCGTTCCACTACTCGCAAAGTGCCTACTCGCAAACGTCCGAAAAACACATGTCCGCTTTGATGCCATTTATAGTAGATCCTCTGCGTGGGATCCAGACCATTTTCGAGTAGTTACTTTGCGAGTAGTGGAACGCGCTTGTTTATGCTCCTCCTCCTCCTACTCCGCCTCCCCAGTCCCCCCTGTGTACACGAAGAAGATAATTTTCGAAAGTCTACCAGTACTCCGTGCTTCGAGACATCATGAATATTTGTTGTGCGAACGTAGGTCCCATGTCGATCATTCTCCGATGTCACCCGGCCCCCAGAAAACTGATTTTGAACAATTGCGTTCGTTTCCTGCTTCAAAACATAAAAGGAATCGTTGGCACTAGCGACGTCCCCATCATCGTCCTCCCTCTTTCCGATCCCTTGCCGCCAAACCCTCCACAAAACGTTCCCAGCCCCCAAGAAACAATATTTCAAACATTTCCAGTTTTTCTTGATTGCTTCAAAACATAAAGAAAGGTTCGATTGTAGTGTTGCCCTCCGCCACGCTTCGCCACTGCGATCTCTTGGCAACAGCGCTTCCGCAAAACGCCCCCCAAGCCCACAGAAATCATGTGTTACACAATTGCAGCCTTTGTTATGCCCAAAATATAGAAATCAGCGGTATCGGCGATGTTCCCCGTCAGGCCCAGAACCAGCGTTGAACATGCGTGAATATGTGAGCGTTTCCTTCTTTAGCGAGCAAGAGGGAAATACTGGTTGACGCAGTGCTGCAAAACAGCATGACGTCGACCAGGCTTGCCTTGATCAGGGTTCGGGCTCCGCTCCGTCGCACATCAGAAGACACTGTCGAAGCGCGTCCAGCAGTGGCGACGAGGACAGCCCCGAGAGCAACGAGAACATGTCTGTGTGATTGTGACACACATGCACCCGACGCCGTTCCTATCTCACCCCGTTGCTCTTCCCCCCAAATTCATGCAAACGGGATGCCGCCATGGCGTTTTCTCATTCTCCATCGCCCGAACTTGCAAACTGTGAACTTCTCAAACTTTCACAATGTGAAACGTTGCAGCTGTTGGATATGCAATATTTCAATGTTTAGGCCGATTCCGTTTTCAGAGTTTGAACATGTTTTCAGATTTGAAAACTCAAGGTTTTGGAAGTTTGAACGCTTGAAAGTTTGAAGTCTTGCAACACCAAATAACGGAGGCAGCTAAGAGCGAACATTTAAGTTGGAAACAGTTTTGCACATTTTAAGAAAGCCAAATTTCCAAATTTTGCGTCCTGTGCGAAATCAGACTTCCAAAACACTTGGAATGTTGATACCCTCGGTCGACCCCCCCGCCCCTGTCGACTTTCGGATGGGGAGGGGGGTGGGGGGGAGGGTTCTCGCCAGGGAGGGGGGAACAGTCTAGGCTCCATACAGGAGGGGAGATTTTCGAGTCGGGGGCGGTTGCAGAGCGGGGTAGGTTGGGAATTTTGCACAAGTGAAGCGTACAAAGAAGACGCTTTCTGGAAGATTCGATACGGAGTTCTGGCAAAATGTATGGTGCAATTTGCGGCACTCCCACTGAAGCATCGGACGATTTGGTGGCCCGCGTTGTGTCTGGCGCAACCTGTGGCCCACCCAGAGGCATCGGGCGAGTTGATTGCCCACAGTGTGTCTGTCGCAGCTGTTTGCGAGACGTATGGCACAGCCACTGTGGTATCGCGCGACTTGGTGGCCCGCAGTGTGTCTGGCGCAACCTTTGGCACACCCACTGAGGCAACAGGCGGTAGGGTATCCCGCGAGCTGTCTGGCGCAAGCAGTCGCGCAACCCACTGCAAAACCACTGAGGCAACCGACGATTTGGTTGAAAGCGAGGTGTCTGGCGCAACCTAAAATGCAACCTATGGCACACCCGCTGAGGCATCGGACGCTTTGGTGGTCCGCATTGCGCCTGGTATAGCATTTGGCACACCAACAGGCATGGGGCGATGTGTGGTCCTCGGTGTGTACCGCGGCGCCGATGGCACACCCGCTGAGTCATCGGACGATTTGGTGCCCCGGTGTTTCATTAACGCAATTGATGACGTACGCACTGAGGCTACGGGCGATGGGGTGTCTCGCGTGGTGTCTGGCGTAACGATTGACGCAACCCATTGCAAAAACCACTGGGACAACGGACGATTTGGTTGAACGCGAGATGTTTGGCGCAACCTATGGTGTAACCTATGGCACACCCGCTGACGCATCGGGCGATTTGGTTACCCGCAGTGTGTCTGGCGCAACCCATGGCACTTCCTATAGCTTACCCGCTGAGGCAACGGAAAATGTTGTTGCCCGCAGTGTGTCTAAAGTAACCTATGTCGCGACCCATGGCGACCCACAGACGTGGGGGGTCTGGCGCACATTGTGGCGCAACTCATGGCGTACCCACTGAGGCAACGAACGACTTGGTGGCAACCTATGGCAAACTCACAGGGCATTCGGGCGATTTGGTGTTCCGCAGTGTGTCTGGCGTAACCAATGGCGACGCCTATGGCGTAGCCACTGAGGCATCGGACGATTTGGTGGCCCGCGGGGAGTCTGGCGCAACCGATGGTGCAATCTTTGGCACCCCCATTGAGGCAACGAACGATTTGGTTGCTCGCGGGGTGTCTGACACACTTGCTGAGGCAACTGACAATTTGGTGGCCCAAGGGGTGTCTGGCGCAACCGAAGGCGCAGCCTATGGCACACACACGCGCACACACGCACGCACTGAGGCAATAGACGACTCGGTTGCCCGCGGGGTGTCTGGCGCAACCTCTAGACAGAGCGGAGGAATCGCGATTCGGTAGATAGCGGGGGGTCTGGCACAACCCGTGGTGCAACCTCTGACACGTGCTGTTCAGAATCTTTTTTGCGGGGTGAAAGTTGACACAGCGCTCGGGTGTCAGGGTGGGGGATGCACTGGAGGAGGGCCGGACCGGGTTCTTGGAGTCTTTTTTCGGTTGGCCTCGCGCTGCGCCGCGCCCTCGCTTCAGGCGCCAGGGCCTCGCGCGCAGCCGTGGATCGCCGGCGTCGGGAAAAGTCCAGGTCGCGAGGCAGTGGGGGCGTGATTGGAGGCCCGACCCCCGCGATTTCGAGGAACAAAAAGCAGCAGAAACACGAACCTTCGACGGTCCTCGCGGATTCCTTGGATCTGCGCTGGGTCCCCGTCCCAGCGCGCGGCGCGCGCCAGGGGCGGCGCTGGAGGCACCGCCAGGGGGTCCAGCGCAGATCCAGGAAAGCCACGCAGACCGTCGAAAGTTTCTGGTTATGCAACTTCCTCCTCGACGACTGCAGGGACGCCCTTCTCACGTCCTCCCCCCCCACCTACCCCTCCTGGCTCGCCGTCTCTCCCGCCTCGTCCCCCCTGCGCGAACGGATACATTTCCCCCTCTTCCCTCACCTGGCCTCCCCGTGCGAGTGGATAACTCTCTCCGCGGGGTGCTCTCCGCTGGCTCTGATCCTCGTTGACTGACGTCAAGGGCATAAAAAACGCCCCTACCCCTTGTTTACGAGGCGCTGTGCGCTGAAACTCCTGTGGGCTGACAGGGTAAACCCTGCGTGATGTGCCGCGTCCTGGCGGCTCTAGGCGTACGGGGTTCCCAGGAGGCTTACAGACCACGCACTTGTAACCCAGGGTAAGGTCGTTTTTTCATCCCTCAATGACGGGCCTTATCATCCAAAGTCGTATTTCCACGGTGCATCGGCATTGGTGCAGAAAGAGCGAAACATGCGCCAGGCGTGAGAAATCTTGGGGGGTCCAGGGGCGAGTTTCGAGCAGGACCCGGCCAGGAAAGACACAGGCTCTGAGAGTGTGCGCAAAGTCCCCTCGACGAGCGATGTAGCAATTGTCCGTGCATTTCAGTTGCTATTTTGCATTTCTACGGGAATCGTGAGCTTTGCTCAGCCTATCTCGCTTGCATGTTCCACGGACACTTACGAGTTCAAGATTGCGGTGCGCTATCCGCGATGGTCTGTCTCAATGGATCCCTACTATGTACTAGGCTGTTGAATATCTCAGTCGAGTCGTGATATTGGCGCTTCGTGTGTCCTCAACAGCCCGTTCCGAAACGATCTCCAGGCGAGTTGCCATGGTCAGGGATGTGTCGGATCATCCAGTTGAGCAAAGGGTGAGGCAGCCGTTTCATCGAAGCTCGGGATCAGCTTGGGCTAGCGAACCCGGGAGTACACCATACATACATTCGCGGCTCTCTCGAAGGAGGCGGACACGAAGGAGGAGGAGGAGGAGGAGGAGGAGGAGGAGGGAGGAAGTTATGGTTGCCATTTCGGCTCACGGGGGTTGCTCTTGAACTGCTAACCTCGCTCGAGAGTTTGAGGCTCGTTCCAGAGTGAGCCCACGAGTCTTCGTGGTCAGAGGTTCGCGACCTCACAGAAGCTACGATTCGTTTCTGGTACCTTTCTCTCTGTAGTCATCTCGACCCACGAGATGGTGGCCTGGGGCTGCAGGCAGCGCAATGCTTGGAACCGCGGTGCGAAGCTCAAGTTTTTCAACTGTGGAGGATGCCGTCCAGACGGCCGGGTCATTAGGATCGGACAGCACCCGACGCCACAGGGAGAGTGGGCTTCGAGCGGAGGGCCGCGTCGCCTGCGTGGCGCTCTCGGCTCTCGGGGAAATCGTCAGCCCGAGAACCTCGGGCCGCCCAATGGGAGCGTTATTGAGGCCGTCTTGGGGCCCTGATGATCCCCATCTTGCGGCTCTCTTGGGCTGGATTTGTAGTCGTGTTAAGACATTTTGAAACCTCAGATGCCTAGTCGACGCGAGAAGACGAGAAGGCAGAGCAAATTGAAGCCACACAGGGCGGAGGATCTTAGCCTCTCGGGGGTCTCCTTCGGGGGATCTGTTGCCATTGGGAGCCGTTCTTGGGCGATATTTTCGTGCCTCTTGGACACACGCTGGAAGCACTACTGAGCCATGTTGGGCTGAGCAGCTGCCTGCGGCAAGTCCCGCCGCCCTGCCAGCCAAGTGCTCCCGGAGGCGACTGTTCGGGCGGCGCTGAAGGCGAATTGTGACGCCTAGAACCGAACGGGATCTGAAACGCTGAAGAGAAGCCACGACCTGTCTGAACTATATAGCGGAGCTGGTTTGGCCGATTCGGGCCCTACTGGGGGTCCTCTCGTGGCCGTCTTGGGCGTAGGATGGGCCATCTTTGCCTCGAAGAAGATGAAGCGCCACAAAGAGGAACTTTTGGCGCTCCGCGTGGTCTTCTTGGATCCGCACTGGGCCCCTCCCCCCGGCGGCGCCTCCGGCGCTGCCCCTGGCGCGCTCCGCGCGCCAGGGAGGGGGGTTCAGCGCAGATCCAAGACATCCGCGCGGAGCGCCAAAAAGTTTATGTTTATGGCGCGTTATCTTCTTCGAGACAAAGATGGCCCATCCTACGCCCAAGACGGCCACGAGAGGACCCCCAGTAGAGCCCGAATCAGCCAAACCAGCTCCCCTTCTAGTTCAAACAGGTCTTGGCGTATCTTCAACGTTTCAGATCCACTGTCGTGTGCGCGGAGCGCCCAAAAGTTTATGCTCATGCCGTTTTTTCCTCTTCCGCTGCCGGCGCTGGGCGGTCTGCCTCGGCCGCGCTGGAAGGCCAGGGGGCGCGTGCCCGTCGCTTGTGCAAGAGATCGCGGCTGCGGGGGCGCGGATCCGGTGTCTTTTTCAGATTCAAGGGGCCGTGGCCTCGGTCGGGGGCGGCTCCGTTGCTCTGCACAAAAGGGTCGTGGCGTCGGGGGCGCGGACCCACCGTGTCTTGCTTTTGGAAAGGGGGGGACTCTGCACGCAACTGGGTGTGACGAGAAGGGGGGGGTGGCTTTAGAATTGTGGAGGACGATCAATGGAGAGGAAGCATGTTCGACATATTAAACACACGTTTAATTCGATGATAGGACTGTTACGGTGTCCATTGTCGTGGCATCAACAACCTTATAACATACAAAGATCTAGCCAGGAAGCCCTTGACATTCTGCCACGCCTCAACGTGCCAGGGGGCACGGTGGCGGGCCCAGCCATCTCGGGGGCCGTCTTGGTCTATCTCATGCAACCTTGCCATCTCGAGTCACTTTGGACGCTCTGACCGCTCGTGCCCCCCTCCCCCGTCCAGACCCAGGGGAGGAGGGTAGGAGGAGGGGTAAGCCCCTCTCCGAAGGGGAAGAAGGGGTCCGAAGTGGGATCGATCCAAACCATCATCTACGCCCAGAGAGCTAGTGTTCTTTTCTTATAGCGCAGGTACAGTGTGTCGTTTTCGTTTGCAAGCGTGTTTTATCTTAACACTAGATTGAACGATGGACAATCTCCAACTCTCGATGTGCAACGGTTCGATCAGCAAGCGCAGCACCGATTATGATCAAATTTGGTGCGGTACGGCGGAGGGAACCATATTTCCGAATCGAAGACGCCTACAGCACATTGCCGCCGCCGCCGCCGCCCGCCCCCATGCGGCCAAACGTTTGGCCGAAGTCTGGCCAAGCTGTTGGACCATGTGTTCTCCCAGCCGTTGTGGAACCCCTTGGGGGAGCACTAGCGAAAGAAAGAGGTGGGAGGAGGAGAGGGAGGAGAAGGAGGCATATTGAGGACGAAGAGGAGGATGAGGATGAAGAGGACGAAGAGGAGGCATATAGAGGACGAAGAGGAGGCATATTGAGGACGAAGAGGAGGAAGAGGACGAAGAGGAGGCATATTGAGGACGAAGAGGAGAGGAGAAGGAGGATGAGGACGAAGAGGAGGCATATTGAGACTCTCTCGGGCCTCCTGCTGACTTCCCGAGAGTCTCTTGGCTCTTATGGGCATCTTACGGGCCTCCTGGGGCCTCTTGGGGGACTCCTGAGGCCTCTTGGGGACGCCTTGGGGGGCCTCGGGGTCCTCGAAGGGGCCTCTTGGCCCTCGGAGGCCGTCTTGGGGCCCTCTGTGGGCAATCGTGGGTCCCTCTTTGGGCGCTGTCGGGCAGTCTTGGGGGTCTCCGGTGCCGTCTTGGGTCCGTCTTGGGGGCCTCTTTGGCCGTCTGAGGCTCTTGGGCCGTCTTGCGGGCCTCTTGGAGGCCTCTTGGGCCGTCTTGGGCGATCTTGGGGGCCTATGGGGCCGTCTTGGAGCGTCGGAAACCCGAAAAGGCGAGAACGCTAAACCTACTAAAGCGCCGAAGGATAGTCTAGAAGTTTGGCCTCCTGGAGGTCCTCTTGGAGCCCTCTTGGGGCGTCTTATTAGTGTGGCATGGCAGAGGAAACCATGTTCTGGACGCTTCGCGTAATCCCACCAGCTCATCCAGAAATGATGCTCAGGCGAGTTGCCCTGATCAGGCATGTGGGGGGGCACGCAGTGGAATAAAGGCTGTGAAGCCGTCATACCCAGAGAGGGGGAGGATGGAGGAGGAACCAGAGGGGGAGGAGGGGGAGAAGGAGAGGGAGGGGGAGGAGGGAGGAAAGAGGAGGGGGAGGGAGGAGGAAAATACGGGGGATGAGGAAGAGGATGAGGAGGAGGAGGAGGAGGAGGAGGAGGAGGAGGAAAGGGAGGAGGAGGAGGAGGAGGGGAGAGGAGGAGGAGGAGAGAAGAGGAGGAGGAGGAGGAGAAGGAGGAGGAGGAGGAGGAGGGCGAGCAGAAAGGCCAGAGGCCTCTTGGATGCCTCTCGGAGTTTCTTCGGATGTCTCTGGGGAGCTTCTTGTATGCCTTTAGGGGCCTCTTGGGGGCCTCGTGGCGGTCCTGGGGGCCTCTTGAGGTACCCTTGGGGAGCCTCTTCGGGCCCCTTGGGGGGCTCTTAAGGGGCCTCTTGGAAGCATCTTGGGGGTCTCTTGGGGCCTCCTGGGCGCCTCTTGGGGCACTCTCATCTTGGGGCCATCTTGGAGGAGATCGATCAAATGAGCGGTCGCAGTAAATTGCCCCCCCCCCCAGGAGGCCAAACCGTGGTCAAAGCCTTACCAACATCAATGATTTCGGCCTTCTCGCCAAGGCATTTTGGGGCGTCTTGGGTGCCTCTGGGGGGCCTCTTGGGGCGTCTTTGGAGTCTTTTCGGAGCCTCTTGGGAACATCTTGGGGGCCTCTTTGGGAGCCTCTTGGGGCCTCCTGGGCACCTTTTGGGGAGATCGATTACAGGAGGGGGCTCCCTAA